ACCAAGGGTAATAGATCTGGCTTGTTCGTTGCACGTTCTTCGAGCGTGGTTCCAGGCCAAAAAAGAGAAGACACGAATGGTACACGCACTGGCTTCAAGGTCGTCAAACCTGGCGCCGTGGTCTGAGCCAGCTCTGCATCGCAACAAGTAGTGTTGATCTAGCATCACAAGCACCGTTACCAAAAAAAATGTTCTCAAAATTGCCTGCAATCGGAACTGGCGCTGAACGCCTGGAAGTCGCACCCGAAGCACGACATCAAACGAAACGTCTACGGAATCGGAACTGTGCAAAACCGGCATGGCCTGCGCTTTCAGCCTGGCCCAACACACACTTGACCCACAAGTCCAAAAAACTGTGAATCGAAACTTGCGCGACGACCGTGCTCTCAACCATGGTTGTTCGAGATGATTCCGACTTGACATTGCCAACTGCACAGATGTGTCACCAGATCGTCGCTCGCTCACAATTCATACGCCGAAATGCGCGTGGACAGAACTAGCACGCACAATCGTGGGCAACGCCTCTCGCCCAAGCATTGCAATCATGGGCGTTTGCCGGTACCTTAGCACCGTGTTTTTGCACTTACCCGGTCCATTCGTTTCTAGGGCGCCCTACACGCCTCGTATACTGGCACGCGATTGGAGCAAGATTCCCAGGACAAAACGTGCGACACTTTAGCACGTCTTTTTCGGGGACTCTCACCACCCTGCCGTAAACAAGCAACTGCTGACGTAACAGCTTCTGTGAAATCGGCTGCCTGCCACCCCTGGCCAGAAACCCCTCATTGGACACACGTGATATGAAGGAAAGCTGCATGCTCTGGATTACCCTCATACATCTGCAGTGGAAGCCATGCAAATTCAAGGCCGTGGAGCAACCAGCTGACGATAATAGCCTCGAACACCTCAAATTCCCTTGCGGTCGTCAGCTGTGCGTGCGTCCAAAACCGGTTCAAGTGGCAGCAGTCGCCCAAGGCCCTCCCGATTCTGCGGTGGAGGTCTCCCTTGACGCTGCCATCTGGTCCGATGTCGACGCCAAGATAGTGCATCACCTCCGCGCTCGAGATTGATTCCCCCGAAGGCGCTTTCAAGCTGTAACTCCGGTTTGGGTAACATCGCGCACAAAAACTGGTTTGCGCCGCCTCTCCAATGCTTTTCATCGCGGGCCTTCCGAATCGCGCCCGCCCAAACAGCGTGTGGCTCTGTTTCGACATTGAAGGGGGCGACATCGAATGGGTGAAAGGGGGCGATATTGAACTGCCGCGTCAGACACGTTTGAAATCAAGGTTGTCCAAAATTGGCCTTGCGGAGCGAATGCGGCGAGGTGGCACGTTGGCCCTTTCCCCTGGCCCGCGCCGCGCGAACATCTCCATTGCAATCTTACAGCAATGGAATCGGTCAGGGCCGCTCCGTATTGATATTTCCCTACTCCACATGGATCCGCAGTTGCTCAAGAATTTATTTGGCTTCAATACCACCAGCCCTGTGGGCGCAAGTGGTCAAACGATGTCTTACTTTCCTGTTCCAAAACCCCTTTTCTTCCCCTTTCGGGGAGCAGTCTACCCATCCCCCGACCCCCGCCCCTGGACCTGGACGGGGGGGTTCGTGAGTTGCCAGGGCGTCCAAGATAGTTTGGGATGGTTCCAAGAGGGCCTCAGACAGCCCGCCATGGGCTCCAAAATCGCTCGAAATAGCCCTACATGGCTCATGACAGCTACCAACAAGGCGACAAGACGGTTCCAGGTGCTTCTGGGCGCCCCTGACAACCACCCAGGGAAGCCAAAATCCTTCCAACACGCTTAGATAACCAACGATTGTCGCCGAACCCCCCTTTTCGCTTCCAGTGCGTTTTTGAGGGGTCAAGGTGGCCCCAATATGGCCGCAGAGACATCCAAGAGGGGCCCATGATGCCCCCATAACGGCCCCATGGCCGCCCGAGGTCGCCCGAAGAGAGGCCCACGAGCGCCCCAATAAGCTATTTGGATGGCCCCAGAGGGGGGACTAAACGGAAGGACCCCTTCCCCCTTGGTTCCCTCCACGACAGCCCAAAAGGCCTCCCAGGGCCCCCAAGAAGAACCCCAGGAGAGCCCCACGAGGACCCCAAGATGCGCCTGGGAGACCCCCCGAGGCCCCCAAGAGGCCCCCAAAGAGCCGCCAAGAGGCCCAAAGAGGCTCCCCGAGGCACCCAAGACGCTCCAAAAGGCCCCCGGGACCGCCAACATGCCTCCAAGACGCCCCAAAAGCCTTCAGGAAACTCCCAAGAGACATCCGAGGAGACTTCGAGATGCACCCAAGGAAGCCTCTGGCCCCTTTGTTCCTCCTCCTCCTCCTTTTCCTTTTCCTCCTCCTCCTC